GAGGAATCCAGGAAGCTTGTGTTAGAGTGAATAACAGACAATATTTATCTAGTTCTCTATATAGATTAGTCACATCTTCTGTATTCCCATTAAACTCCACTCAACACGGACCCTGTGCCAGTGGAAGATTTGGAGCGATAGAATATGATCATGCCCACTGTTTTGCCTGTGACTTTTGGTCTCCATCTGCCTCCTCATGGATTGACAGATGTCACTCATGGCCCCAGCCTCATGTTGTTGATGATATAGTAAAAAATGGATGTCACTTTGTAGCAATTGGACATAAGCTAGGAAGTCATGAAGACCTTGAATGGAGAATTTCTTTCTCTCTGGCAGAGCAAAAACTAGTGTTTGCAATGAACCACTGTCAATTCTTAACTTATGCCTTGCTTAAATTGTTCTTAACAGAAATAATTAACAATGGAGTAGGTGAAGATGATACATTACTGTGTTCCTATCATATTAAGACGGCAGTTTTCTGGGTGATTCAACAAAATACAATATCTCATTGGTGTCCACAAAATCTCCTGTGGGGTTTTTGGGTCTGTTTTAAACTCATCCTCAAATGGGTGTATGAGGGGGTCTGTCCTAATTTTTTCATTCCAGAGAACATGTTTCTGAATAAAATTCATGGCGACAAACAATATCAATTGTCTATAAGATTATATGGGCTTTACGAGAAGGGTTTAGCATTTCTGCTACACAGTCCCTCCATTAGGTCTTATATCATAAAAGTTCTTCACAACCCGAGACTCTCAATCTGTACAGACGAACAAACTCTGATTTCTGAGGCTGAGTTTGATATTAACATATTTAAAGAAATATACAGGCAAGACACACTATTCACATCAAACTTAGAATGTTGCATGAGATATCTACATACAATAGAACAAATGATAGGTGCACCCCTCTTGACAGAGTATCAAGTCATCATGCTACAGAAACTTACAGCTGATGTCCTTAAGCAAACTATTTTCATATTACACATGAAAACTAACGCATATACAAACAAACTGAGTTATAGAAATGACAAAATATACTGTCACATGCTGAAATTAGCAGCCAAGTTTGGTTATATTACTGACATGCTGTACTTGGCCATGTATTATTACAAGACACTCAGATACACTAAAGCAATGTCTATTACAGAAATGATCAAGGTCAAGTTAGCAAAGCCATATGTGATGAATAGGTTCAATGTGAATAAAGAGATGTATACTGAGGCTGTAGGGGGTCTAACTTGGTCTAAAAAGATGAGATATGCTGTGGCATGGACTATCAGACTTGACAATGATATCCATTACATCGGGGAATTAATACAAGAACAAATGTCTGCTCAACTGAACAATTGGCCTCATTTAGAAGTGTCACCCTTAATTCTGTTATGTATGCTAGAGATCCTGTGCTACAGACATGTAAACACAATGAGAGAACAAACATTTCTACGTGAATTACAGACCCTTGTTCACTTTGATCAAGGACAGCTAATGGACCCTCTATACAAAGATATATCTTGGCAGATTCTTGGGATCTGTCAACAGGTGACAGGGAACCTCCAGGCTGCTCTATACTCATACCATCAATCTCTCAGACAAGAACCATGCAACAAAATACATATTGCTACAGAAATGAGAATACGGGAAATTTTTCGATGGAATTCCTCAATTACTTAAATGTCTGATATTTGAAATATACTTAATGAAGTTTGATTTCTTGTTTTTTTTTTTTTCTCACATTATTTTTTTTTCTATTTGCTCTAAAACAAGATATCCATGGACAACAATGTTCACCTGATTCACTTTGTCCTGCTGTTCTTTCAACGATTTTTATAAAAAAAAAAAAAGACTTCTCCCACTTTTTATTCCCATGAAAAATTGTGACCCTATATTGTGACCCCAACATAACTCTTAGAAGTCATGACCTGACCATATCTAAATCCATATAACATGGAGTTACTTCAATATTAATATCTTTAACATATTCTTTCTGTTATGGTGAATTTTTTTTTTCATGTATACATGCATTATGTAGAATTTGATCCTAGTTTAGTTATATTACATTAAAAAAGAATTGAGAATGTTTGCAATTAAGAGATTCTATTGTGGTTATTGAAAACTTTTAAAAAGATTTTTCGCTATATAATCAAATATAAAATGTCATTTCCTATTCTGATCCAATCCTAAGACATTCCTTGGGCATCGATTCAAACAATTTTGAATTTACACTATCTGAGAATGCTTGCATATTCATGTGATCTAACTTTAATCTGTATTTACTGAGGATGCTTGCACATTAATATGGTTCCATAGAAATTGGCTGGATTAGACAGAATATGGGAAAAGTCAATATTCTAACCGACTGAATTTACTGAGAGGGACTTCATTTAACTTTACATCATGATAGGCAAGATTCTGGAATACAATACATCCTGATTATACAGATTTTAGTGTATTACTTATCTTGTCTGTTCTGGTTTTGATTAATTGTTTGTGTATTAACATCCCTTGAAAGATAATTTCACTCAATCGACACATCACTGTATGCAGGAAGGGCTTCAACTTTAGAACTTTGCTCAGTACTCAGGGCCATTGACCATTGGATCTTTATCGTGCCAACATTTGATGTGACACAAGACTTAGCTTTTTAAATTCTCTTAAAAAGACTTAAAAATTTCACTTCAAAATTCAGAGTGCTTGACGTAGGGACAGTTGCTTTCCCTATTTTATAGTAGCTCAAGTATGTAGAATCATGACCTCCTGATCACGTATTTTTATCCCTATATATTTGATACTTATTGTGGCCTTACTATATCCCTTGGACAATGACTTGAATAAATTCAAATCTGCAACTTAAGGATGCTAGCATGGACCAGGTGTTCTTGATATATTTTTCCTAAACATTCTTATGTCAAACCTTTTTTTAAAACAGTCATGGTATGAACAACCTGAAATGTTTTTATATTTATAATACCAGGAATATACCCTTATCTCCTGCATATGGGGTTTATATCTCTCAGTTAACTCGATACGCAATAGATGCTTCACGTATGAACAATTTCTCAAACGATGCAAACTATTGACAAACAAGTTGAAGAAACAAGAATATCAATAGCCTCGTTTGAAGTCATCATTTCGCAAGTTTTACGGTCGATACAATGACCTTGTCAGCACATACAACCTATCATAAAGTCAAATGCTGACTGATGTTTTTCATACTAATTGTTAAGCCATTACTTATACACTAAACTGTCGACGTATTTTTCCTTTTTTTTCTGACCATGACAAAGACCACATGGTGGGTCTGACCAGTCGGCAGGGGATGCTCACTCCTCCAGGGCACCTGATCCCACCTCTAAATTTTGAGGTCCCTATTTGCTCTGCTCCAATTTTATATCGTTTCATTGGACTTTCGAGATTGAATACTGTTCGTTATCTTCATATTTCATAAAATGAATATATATAAAACTGATTTTATTATCAGCTTTGGATACAGTGATCCAGCAGACTAAAATAAGCTCCACAAATTCTTTGGAAAATACATCTACAGTAAAACATTAAAACATATCAAAAACTTGATTACCAACTGAGTTTTTGTGAATTTCTACTTCAAATGAATTATTTTTTTTCAACAAGAACAAGAGGTACCGTAAATGTAAATTGGCGTATTTAAAATTTAGTGCAATCACTGGCATAAAGTTATTTGCGTATTTATGAATTAGTGCTACACACTTACTCGCCATATATTGTATTTATATATGATTTCTTAGCGGTATTCATGAATGAGCGCATCGTTGTCCGCGCCAAAGCCTCTAAAATATGGAGCCCGCTTTTATAAATACACAGACAGTATTATTCTTAACGAGCATTTTTACTAGAATTCCTCAACAAGAATGAGATCTGTAATTAAACAGACAGTGAATATTGGTAGAGGCAACCCTTACTCATTATAAATATGAACTTGGTTTCTTTCCTCAATAACCAGGAGCAGAGGAAAATTTTCAAAGCATTAATTCATTTTTATTATATAATTTAAAGATACCCTCAAAAATTGTAACCCTGACCCTGGGACCACAAATTTCACGATTGTGGATGAAACATCCTTGCTCATCATAACCATGAACTTAGTTTATTGGCTTTAAACCCAGGAGCAGAGAAGAAGACTTTCAAAGAATGCATTTTCACCGTCAAATCAATGAAGCCTCGCCGTAACACCAAAACCCCTGACTCAGGGGCCATGAAATCACAATTTTAATTGAGGGACCAGTCCTTTTTATAAAATGAATTTAGTTCGTTTGCTTAATACCCAGGTGCAATGGGATAGATTTTTTTTTAAATGATATATTTTCACTATATATTCTACAAAGCCAAAAGACCCTCACCCTAGGGCAATGAATTTCACAATTTTGGTAGGGAATTCAATGTTTATTACAATCATGCCAGCAGTATAACTGCTTAATGTTCAGAAGTAAAGAAGATGATTTTTAAAGATAGTTTTGATGGTTTCAGTCCCATTTCTCAGACTCCAAAGGGGCATGGACCACGAAATTGACAATTTTTATTTCCCTTTACCCATATATGATTTACCCTAAAATTAATTGAAATTAGTTCAGCAATTCCGGAGGAGAAGTTAAAAATTTTTAAATGTTAAGGGTTTGGTTTTGTGTTCATCCAAGTGAAACTCGTACGAAATAAAAATCTCAATGTTTTAATAAATACTTCTTGCTTACTCTTGAAAACTGACCTATGACACCTTCCATTGGAAAGCTGTCTTGATATGTATGCAGTTTGATTGTCACTTGCAGTGTCATGCAGCAATAATGTGCATATTACACTTGCAGGACTGCACAGCTACAGGTCTAACAAAACAATAACATGACATTTGTTGTATATGTGCAGATAGTTGAACGTCATGGGTACAACCATTTGTTTCGTTCCTAACAATACTGTGCGTACTTTTTCTATAACTGTCTGTTTTTCATCAACTAGGCATGTCCGCCATGCGAAATCGGGGGGCTGCCATTCCGGTATTGAAACCAACTGACTATTTCTGTAATCTGATGTCTCTAGTACCTCGATTACACAAAGCAATTAGAGAGATATTTCGTTAAACATCTCCAGTTATTAGAATGTTTCGATCTAAATGTTTAATATTGTTTATTATAAAAGTAACATCGATGTTTACGTCATATCAGGGAATGCTCCGTCTTCGATTTTACAATGGACAGATAAATTAATACGCGCCCAGTTTTAGCAGTTCCGACTGAATTTAACGTCTGTTATTTCTTTTGCAGGTAAGGCTGTTAATTACCTTTTATCAAATAAGCATATTAATCCTACAAATGTAGGACAATGTCATATAATATTGAAAAATATTGCACGAAAATTAAGAACTATAATCACTCAGCGTAGTTTATTTCTGAGGTCTGTCATGCGATATTCGGCTAAAGTGAAAGTAGGAGCTGGTAAGTCGATTTGTTGTGTTTATTGTGATTTATGAGCCTTATCTCAGAAATACGATATAACTCCTAGTATCAGTAATACATTTTGAGTGTGACAACGCCTGCGATCTAATGCACATCAATTTTAAAAAGGTTAAACGTTATACAAAGGATCTGAGAATTTCCACTTGTTTCTTGCAGACCACAATTTGGTAGCGGGCAATATTTAAGGTTCCTCTAATAAATGTTACTATGTTTCAAAATACTAAAAGTATTCGTCATTGTATAAAAATATAGTTCAGTCAAAAACAGGATTTCAAATATGAGTAGAGTAAAGAACTGAATTTTGTTTTCATTAATGAGCGATTTTTGTGTAAGATCCTTCATTGAGCCTCAGACACACCAAGTTAAATGTCCAATGACGGCTAAGTGAAGTGGCTCTACGTAGTACACATATATGGTAAATCAGATGTGTTATTTGTAAATCAAAATTTTGATATTCAAATTTTATTGCTTTTTTGTTTTACTTTTTGTAAAAGAGATGCAAGTATTATTGATTATTTATATAAATAATTTTCACATAAGTTTGTACTATGTATACAAACCATCATTTTGGACTTGAACCTTCTGATTTGCAGATTAGTGCAGTATATGTAGTTCTCATGGGGAAAAGTAAATTAAACGATAAAAATTTTCAAGGATGTCAACTTAATTTGCTTATTGCTTGATATGTAAATTGTTCAATGTTCATCAAATGAAGAGACTGCAGCAAAATTGAAAAATAGGTTTTTTTAAAGATGAAAATTTAATTGCATAAAGTATTAATAATTAATATTCTCTAGTTAAAATGGTTAAGATTGAAAACTTGAATTTCTGCAACGGCATTGGTTTCATCAAAAAGGGAGTATAATAAGGGGGTCTTACCTGATCTTAAGTTACCATTGAGCATGCTGAATCAAATGCTACCAAGCATGTTTATTTTTAATTGAATGTTCATTTTATGAAAGTTTTTCATATGCTCAATTACACTTAGGTTGTTGGTTGCACTTGTAAGGAAGAGATAAGGTGCTGGGGGTGGGGTGGGGGGTAAACCTTGGTATTGATCCATAAATACCATAATATTCTTGTAGAAACCTCTAAGATTTTTTGTATAAAATTGAAAAAAAAATGAATGTACATGTAACCACCACTTTATCTCAAAGGTTATTATTATTATATTTTTTTGGAGGACCTGCATTTTAATGGTACAGGCAAACCTTGTTACATTGTATTTCTATCCTGATAGGACCAATAAAAAAAATTAAGAAATCTGGTATAGTTTGACACATTGAGGTTAAAATGCTTAAAGAAAAAAATGGAAGAGACTTTAAATGAAATATGAAGATAACAAACAAAAATCAAATTCAAATTCACATAATTTTGAGAATGGAAGCAAAACTCTATTCTTATAATGTCTCATAGAACAAAAGTTTTAACGGACACAGTTTCAGGAAATAAATACCATTCAGTTAAAACACTGACACCCTTCAACATGTTCAACAAAGATTAATATTAATATCTAGACTTAAAAGAATTGTTTTTGAACTTTTTTCCTAAAATTTATTATAACTATGTTTACCATGTTTACAGAATGCCTTGTTTCACAAAAAAGAACACTGTTCAGATATTTTCTCTGGACTGTCAATTTCTGCATTTCATAATCATGTGATACCTGTGTTGGAGCCCTCCCAAAAACCTCCCCTGTAAAGTAAGTTTTTTATCACAATGGAATGATTCTGTAAATTTAATAGACATGTGTATAAGGGTATAAGGTAGGTGTTATAATCACAGTGAGCTGACTAGTCATTTCATTTTGTATGATTGGATTCAGATGTTATTCTATGTGTACAGAATGAAAGAATGTACAATTTTTATGATGAGAAATATATATGCGGTTGGATGAAAAGAAAAATTTTGTTTGAGTGAATGTTGTGTATGTGTCCATCACATTGTCTCAAGCCATGGTTGGAGTCCGCCTACAGCTCTCTCCTACCCGAGGCTGCTTGAGCGAATTAAGTATCGTTATCATGAATAATCAAACCTTATGTGTGATGTCACGTTATAACCCAATAAAAGTAATTGTTTATATTGCAGTTGACTTTAACGATAAAAAAACAAATGTTAGGTAAACAGTGACTGAAAAAAGAAGTCACATCAGAGGTTATTTTTAAATAATTGAAAACTTCAATCTCTTTTGGAAGGAACTGTTTCTGATCATCTTCTTGTAGCTTACTAACACACATGTCATCATATCAGGTTTTTAAAATTCTGCCATCAAATCCTTACCTCGTCATTTAACCTTCAGATTTTGTACTTGTTTGTTTTATTTAATTATGATCTTATATGCTTGTCTCATCTACTTCCCAAGGCAAGATGACATGACCATCACTTGGGTTTACCTTAATTGATCTTATTTATGGTTGATCTCTTTGTATACAGATTAGACTCATATATCTCTATATGGATTAAACTACTCTGATCTACACTAATTGTAAATTAAAATAAGATATATTCAGTCCAACAATCAGTGTTAACCAACATTTACAATGTGACCATCATTGCTGAGGGATGTGTAGCCTTTGACCCTGTAATTTACATGTCTGTCTTTGCATGCTTTTTACTTAGTCATGATGTAAAGATTTAACTTTCAATTCAAGTTCCCTCTTTGAGAGTGATCAACGGTATTGTTTTTTTAGTGGTATATTATAAATTATTTATATTTAATATTTTACAGATTTCAAAGTTAAGGAGATCATTCAAATGACAGAGGTTTTGGTCCATCTTGGTTTGTCTCAACAGTTAATCTTTTGGAAAGCAGTGTTGGAGAAAATATCAGCAACATGTGAAGACTGTGATTTAGTTTCATATGATATGACTAAAGAAAGTTAATATTTTTGATTCCATGGTTGTATGAACAAATGCTTTGAACTTTCCAAACATCATTGAAAAAGAAAATATGATGACCAAACAAAAATACATATTTGAACTTTCCACGAGTTTACAATGAAGAACATTTTGGGATCTTGATACAGGATATTATTGTGTTTAGTGTTTTAGTGTTTTATCTAATTTATTCATATTGTTTAGTGCATTAAATGCAAAAAAATGTTTTAAAGTCACTCTTGTGAAACCCATGCTAAGAACACAGGTCTCAAATATCTTAGAGAGTTATATTAGAGTTATATTGTTAGAATTGAAGCTTATTTATACCTTATATCTTTAAAGAAAGTTTCACAAAAAAATAGTCAAACTTGCATATACTGGTTAACATGTTAAAAGAAATATAATATCCTGGAAGTGATTAAGAATAAAAAAAAAAGTTCATTTATCATCCTTTTCTTTTGTTCTTCTTGGTGACTTTTTTACAATAATCAAAGACATTTACATTTTAGCTCATCTGAGCAGAGGCTCTGTTGAACTTTTTCTGATCAAAGAGTCTCTGGTGTCTGTCCATCTGTCATCCATAAAAATTAAACCCTAAAATAGGGGTATCAAAGTTTGACATGGGAATAGATAGGAAAAAATTGTCCTTTAATGAACAACAAGGTAATGATTTACTCATAATGTATGCAAGCATCCTCAAGAAGTGAAGATTCAAGTTGGTCAAAATCATTTGCCTGACTTATTATTATAATAATATTAAAATATTCCCTATTTGTATTTTTTTCATTTTTTTTCTTCAAATAAATCTGAGATCAGATTTTACATATAAATTGGTAAATGCATGTATAAATGTGAAAAAAAACTTTAGAAAACATATAAGCCATGTTAGCCATATTGATAATGAAATATCCTCATGTTGTGGAATCAGTTTTGGATTAGACATGGCCTTATGGCCCAGGGTGGGGCCACAGTATTAGCTCAGATTTGTTTTTATGAGAATTAAGGGGGATAAGAATGTCTTAGAAATCTGAAGAACACCAAGGTGACTCAAGTGAATGTTGTGGGCCAGGCCTCTTATTTAAATTGCCCACTTCCATTATCCCTGCAGATTTTTAACATCTTATTTGGCATACTTTTTAAGGAGAAAATCATTTTTCTAACATTAATTTCCCTGTGTTTTGTACACACCATAGAGTAATATTTTAGATACATCTGGGCTTTCATATAAAGTGCTATTTTTAGATCAAAAGTGAGTCTCTTTAATTCTATTTTTAACACATTGCCATGTGGTTGGGACTACTTTCATGGCTAACATTTTCTTGTTTAACTAACAAGTATGCATTTAAAGAAATGTACCTATTGTAGTGAGTTTACATTTAAATCAAAGGTTCTTCACAAATAGTTGTAGCCACTTAATTGTTTTAACTATTTCATATTTTTTTGGATTTTTTGGTGCACTACTAAAACCTGTGGCTGCGCAGTCCTGCAGGTGTATTGTGCACTTCATAGCTGCAAACTGCTGCAAGTGTCAATTAAGCTGCATATACCCAGAGATTGTTTTCATTATGAAGATGACATGGACCAGTTTTCAAGTGTAAGCAAGGCTTAATTTTTGAGATATTAAGGTTTTTATTTTTAGTGAGTCTCACTTGGCTGCACACAAAACCAAACCCTTAACGCACCACGCTCGGCGACATACGAAAACAGATATGTATAGTCACCTGAGTGACTCAGGTAACATAATAAAAACTTTAGCGAGCTCGTTGCAAAGCAACGAATAGGTCTTCCGTTGGAGCTGCGGAAGGAAGAAGTGACCTTGAGTCAAGGTCATGCAACATTCTAAAGTTATACATGTAAGCAATCTTGTAAGGGGAAGCAACTTACAATATTTCGCTAGGAAAAACTGTAAAGGAATGTACGTGACCTTGAACATTCCAAATGACCAAATGACAAGCCATGTCACACTCTCGTCATAAAACCCAATCTGTGTGTTACCGACTTGAAAAGTTCACAGTGACACGCCATGTTCTTTTAGTCCATACATACAGTCAAAACATCTTATCCTTAGTGACCTTGAGTCAAGGCCATGTCACACTCTGCATGATACCAGCAATGTTTCACTAGTACAAATACGGTAGCGAAATTACAGTTTCTCTGTCAGTGACCTTGACTCGACCAAATGACCTTGCATCAAGACCATAACACACACTGGTTAAGAGCAATCCCAGTCTGAGTTTCTGAATGGATAAGTTCAGCCATGTTTTTTCAGACCATACAGCGAGTCGGAATAATTTGTTAGGTTCAACACAATGATTTAAAAATTCATTGAGAATGTTTTATGCTCAGTTTGGATAAGTAGTAAAACGTGGAGATCGGTCCTTTGGATGAGACCGTATAAGGTCTCGTGTCGGGGTAAGTGCTAGCATGAGTGATCTCATGCTATAAATTTTGAATTTACCGGGTGGCAGTAAATACAAAATTTACAACATGACATGTAAATTTTGTATTTACTGACAACAGGTAAGTTCAAAATTTACAACATGACAGATCCATGGCACTTGATTCTACCTCTGATTTCAAAAGATTTGCACTGTTCCTAATTTGTATATATTGTTTGAATGGTCTTTTAAGCTTGAATGTTGCACAGGTGCTTGTGGACAGGACCCCCCCCCCCCCAATATACACCCAATACACACCCCGGGGTCCAAGAATATTTTTATTCGTCTTTTTCCATAAATTAATCTTTTAGTACACATTTACAATGTATTCCATATGAAAAATCAAAAATTACCGTAGAATTAACGTTTTATTCAAAAATCATACCCGCGGTATTATGAAATAGAGAAGGTAAGTCACTTCCATTTATTTTGTTAACACTGGACCTCTCTTGGATATCGGGCCTAAAATATCATATACCTACCACATGTCACCAAAATATGTTATTATATCTTGTTTCGGTAGATATTTTTTGTCTTTAATCGTGCTATTTAATTGCCTATGCATTCCACAATAATCCGAGTATTCATCGTCAAACGTAAGAAATGTAAGACTTGGAAATATCAAAGTAGAAATTATACGGAAGTGATGCAGAAACGACACCTAGCGGGTAACTCTCGAGTTCCGAGTGTTACAGAATTAAAGGGAAAAGCCAGAGGTCTACGGAAAAGTTCGGGAAAATTTTTGATAAAGAAGTCGAAATCGATTCATTAGAATTTTAAATTTTGCTGCAGATTTTCCAGATGAGTTAGGGTAGTCATCAATATTCTTTTTAAAGGATTTTATTACTCAAACCAAATAGCGTTTTAAAAACGCTTTCTAACTGCATTTAACCAGTTTGTACAATTTCCCTGTTGTTCTTCATACTCACATATGTTTATGACATGTCCGCAGAATGTAATTATTTGTATTGAGCAAATTACACCAATAATTCAGAATTCGAAGTTTTCTTTGAACATACATTGGGCATCTACCAAATTCGAAATAAACCATTAAGTTATTTGTAGATTTTCGAAGCGACATAATTTTCTTCAAAAAGTTAATATGTACTTGCTCAACATGTGGGGCTTTATGAAATCCCCACATCTCACATCCATAATGAAGAACAGAACCTACATATGTATCAAATAAAGAGAGTGTAGTATCCACATTTAGATTATTCTCTTTCACTCTTTTCCACAAAGAAAAAGTACATTTTTCGTTAACATTTCACCTGTGGAATGCTGATCATTTTCTCCGATTTCCATCCCTTATTGCTCAAAGACCGTAAGTACCATGTACATTATGAAATGTATAAATTTTCAGCCATTCACCATTTATATCCTATCAAAATTTTAATTCCATCTATTTTGTTAACATTAAATTCTGGAAATATAGTCAAAAATCAGGATGAAAATAATAAATGTTAAAAGTGAAATTTATTAATTGTCGAAAGTGCAATGCAAAATTCCGGAAATCAAATGCAAAAACCGAAAATGGTAACTCCCCTCACCCAAAGAAACTATTAGTAAACACTTCGACGCTCAATTGACCACTCCAATGAACACATTAAATCGTTACATTTTTTAAGTCTTAAAATAAAATAAAAGACCTTAAAAAGTTTATAAAATAGGAAAGCTTAGTCACAGATATTAATCGTTGCAGACCTTGTTTTTCATTCATTTGACGATTCGCGAATAACAAATGTCGCGTATGATTATTGGTTTACATTAAAATAGGTTGTGGATATCTCTCGGAATTCAACACGAGCCCTCACCTATATGTATACGTACCTGAACAAACCAACCGATTGACATTTTCGGCTCTAAAGAAAAACATTGTATTCTTTAAAGGGGGGGGGGGGTACGTATCGTAATGAGAGGAAATTTGATCACCTGTCAGTCCATTAAACATGAAAGATTATTTTGGAATATTTGTATACAACTGCGTGGCTTTCTTAGAACCAAATTAGTATTTGTTAGATAAATTAAATAATTATTTAAATTAGTTGTTTAAGATTTGTGACATATTTGTAAGAACCACTTTATTTACCAAACAAAGTTTCACCCTTATATGGACGCCGTGATATATTTGATAGGCTGTTTAATTACTATTCGGATATATTGCCATTCAAAGGACCAACACATTTTTTTTTAATTTGGATAAAAAGTCCGACAATTTTCAACCACGTTTGCTATAATTTTACCGAATCGGATCTTTTTTCCGTATAGTCGAAATGCATGGACGCAGGATAAAAAACCGTATGCTGATCAATCAAAACATCATTGCGATTGTGTATTTAATTTATGGAGATATGTTTTTTTTCTGTTTTTCCTTATCTGTGAATTACCCGTTTGCTTTGTACACAAGCATGTATATTCTGAAAGCTCAGGATGTATTTACTTTGGGCGCTCTTCCATGTAAAACTGCTTGTACTTACAAGCATGTATCCGTAAAATCGTGTATTGGGATATTCTGTTTATTCGACGAAATAAAAGAAATGCATAAGTATGTCATTCTGTACAATACAATTGTAAGTTTGGTAGCAAATAATGCAAACTCAGAAGTGATTAATTTAATTTTCGATTTTCCCGAGAATTGAAAACGTCACCTCCACTTACAATTATTATGCATGTGTACATGCAGTTTAAAACATGAGACAGAAAAATAAATTGTTGCAAACCTAGTGGTTAAGTCGGCAATTAAAATGCATAAAACTTAAAATGAATAAATACACAGGCGGATAAGATAATGATAAAAATAAGCCTGAGATAGAGTGAAATTAAATAATATTTAAGATTTGAAATGATTTCAAACACATGTACAATTTTCCATTAATCGCTATGAGTACACATTGCATTAAATTTTTAACACCGATATGACCGCGGCTCGCTAATCTCTGCGGCCACGTGTGAACGACGAGTGGGTTACAAATTTTGAAGTTAAACACAGAGACAGAGCGGAATATAAACTGTC